TTTTTTGAGAAGAGGTGGGTAACTCACAAAGGTAAAAAAGGGAAGGTAAATTGATAGAGAGCGATAATGAGGTTAAGAATAAGGAGTTGAAACCTTAAATGTGCCTCAAGTTGAAGGAAGGTGAATGTGCCATAAATGGAGGATTTAACCATTTTTTTAATATCGCTATACATTATAACACTTGCTTTTATTGAGTGCGGCGAGAAGCTTTCTCCTTTTGGAAAAAAACACGTATCAGGTAATGTTTTCAGTGTTTATGGGGTAACGTTTGTTGTACTGATAGCAAAGGTTATGAGCTCCGTTGACGATTGGCCGGGTGCATGTTTTGCGTCACTCCTCAAACTTACTGAAAAACCTCATGCCAAGTTTGCGGCAGCTTATGCCACTCTTGGAGCTGTTACGCGTGTGGCTCTTGTTGTGACAAGTTTGGGAGGATTACTAGTACCAGGGGGATGGATAATGTAAGCGTTATTATGTGCAGAACTGAAAAGTAGGACGGCTTCGATCCTTTGAACCGATCAACGGAGCCGCATATGTCAATTAGTAAGTCTATAGCAGTCCAAGAACAACAACTTTAGCCTTCAGTACAATTAATTGGGAACATACCAGTTTCACTTTAAGAAAATCCTCAACACGCTGCACAAGATCTTTAGGAGCTCCATCGACAAAGCCTTCAAAGAAGCTGCTGTAGTTATAATGACATTTTCCACTGACAAGATAGATGATGGCGGTGAGTATTAACAGCGTAACTCCTTCCATCTAAACATCGGCACAAATCATATAGATGCCGGCTCTTCATATCTTGACAAAATCTGTTGAATATAGGAAGAAAAATGCGGACACAAAGCTGGAAGACGTTGTCGATTATAAATGAAGATACTGCTATTGATAGCGATGATATTATCGGTAAGAATTGTAACGCATTCAAACCTGTTCGTCTTTGATCGTGGCAGTTCTGGAAAATTGTTAAGAGTATCTCACTCATTCCAGGAAAATGTTTCAATAAACAATGAAGATTTGATGAGTGGATGGTAGATTTTTTTACGTGATGAAATATCTTATAGCGTAAAACAGAAACTCCTCTATGTTCTACTAAAAACTTCTCTATATTCATTTGGTAAACGCTTTTCTCACAAA